TATTTTATGTGTAAGAGTGTATTGCCTGCATGTGTGTAAGTGCACCTATGTTGTGCAATGACTTAGGAGGTCAGAAGAGGGCATTAGATTCCCTGGACCTGAAGTTATGGATAGTTGTTAGCTGCCATGTGGGTGCTGGGAATCAAACCTGGGTCCTCTGCAAGGGCAGTCAGTGCTCTTAACTGCTGAGCCATCTCTCCAGCCCCCATAACAATATTTCTTGAGGAAGGCAAGAACAGTACAAAGTCAAACACGATATCTTCCACAAGAAGGCAAAAGCACGACGATTTCAAAAGAGATAAGGTGTTGCCTTTGTAAAGACAGAGATGGAGAGAGCCTCTAAATGCTATGGATTTAGGGTGTGAGGAAGACATGGGACATAGACTATGCAGTGATGGAAGTGGGGAGTTTGATGCTAAGGCATTAGCAGAAGTACAGAGGGAAGAAATCCAACACTGGTGGTGGACAATAGAGAAGAGAGGTTTACCTTTGCAGGCTCTGTCTCACTAGAGCAGAGGCTGAGATAGGAGTGTGCACACAAAGTGGTAAAATGTGACTCCAGGGAACAGCAGCTGGGGCTGGAGCATTGAAACAGGAGAATGAGGGAAGCCAGTGCAGGGAGGAGTTTCTTCTTGAGTTTTGACCTGCCATGTGACTCTGTCTTACTCTTGCTGGGGCCTTCTGGGAACTGCACAGAATGAATCACAAAACTGTGCTGGTGAGGGATAGAAGAGAGTAACTAACCCTTACCCACTCTCGCCCCCATTGGTCAAGGGTTCTCTGTGGAAGAGCTCTCTCTAACTTCTATGTTTGTGCATGCATTAAGCACCAAGCAGTTACTGAAACATTCCTTCCCCGGGTGTCCTGGAGCTCTGGAACAGGAACAGATCCTTGCTGCAGCTGGGATGACAAGCTGCCAGATACCACCTTCTCAAAGTTTGATGCATAGGAGTGACAGAACTGAAAGGTGAGGTAATGAGAGGAAAGGTGTGGTTCAAAGAAAGCCTCAAGCAGTGACAGCCAGTGATGTTCCAGAAGATAATGCCAGCAGGACAGGTTTTAGAACATACTTTGCCTGGCTGAGAAACTTGAACTCAGCAACGGGTATGCATTATAAGACCCGATGTGTCGCTTTGCATGTATGAGGTCTTCTAAAGGAAGAGAGCTAGTCACGCTCACGTTTATGTCTAGGATATGACAGAGCATTGCAATCTGCATGCTTTAACTATAGTAAGCCTCACAAAATAAACAGCTGACTTAAAACTGTCCCCACAAGGAAAGTACAGATTGAATATACTACTAAAATTCCAGAAAATATCATTGCCTAGCCTTCAATTTCCAATCACTTTATAAAGTAACATGGAGACTGTACAATTAGTTTTGAGAAGTTGCTTGAAATTCAAATTGAAATGAATGAGTCTTTGAAATATAGATTGATTTATATTCATCTTGGTTAACAATTTTAATCAAATTATATACTGTGTATCAAATTATTAACTAATGATATGACTCCACCATGATTTATCAAAACACATAAATTTTTATTTTAGGGACTGAGGAGGTGGCTCAGTGGTTAAGAGCACTGGCTGCTCTTGCAGAGGACCAGGGTTTGGTTCCTAGCACTCACATGGCGACTAACAACCATCTGTGACTTCAGTTCCAGGGTATATGATGCTCTCTTCTGACCTCCACGGACATTGCACAACATTGGGTACACTTGCATAATGCAGGCAAAACATTCATACACATAAAATAAAAATAATAAATTTTATTTTATATTGTCTCATTCTTGACATTTATCTTTTCAGGTATTTACCATAATATTTATAACAAACAGGCATAAAGTTCATAAGGAAAAGGCTTTTATTGGCTATTTGGAACCCATATATCTGGACCATGGGCTGCTACAGGAATAGGGAGGGAGAGTTGCATTTCAGAAGCATGTAACTTAACTGGACTTGGCAACTAAGTGGATGGTGGGACAAGACCAGGAAAGAACAAAAATGATTCTTAGGCTTCATACTGGGATGATGTTCAAATGAGGGATACTACAAAATGGATATCTGGAGGAGGCATGCTGGTCTTTTAAGGTGACTTTTTTTAAGTTAAAGATTCTCTGACAGTTTGATTCTTTATCCTGTAATTGGCTATCTGTAGTGCAGGCTAGTTTTAATTCTCAGGATGTAAGTAGAAGTTGGTGTTATTGGCTTCACCCCTCTGCTGGGTGAGAATGATGGGCTGTCTTGCTGTAGAAGAGCTTGCTATGAACCATCCAGGATAGGAGACTGACTGAAAGGCAGAGGTGGAGCCCTCCATGCTGTGAAAGAAGAGAAAGTCCTTCTGTGCTTTGCTGTCCTTGTACATGTCCATGATGTCCGCCTCCTAGGGTTAAGAAAGAGGCTTGTTAATGAGGAGGATCAGAGAGAGAGTAAGCTAGCATAACTCAACACTGGGTGCAGAGTATGGGAGTGACTGGGGCAGGGGTTAGGGACACAGGAAAGACATAAAAGAAGATGCAAGCAGTCAAAACAGACACCCATGTTTCCAACACCCGACTTTCTCCAAGGATCCCATGATACAGGTTCTACTGATTTTTTTGAGTCACTGTGTTCTTGGAAACAGAAGGAGACTCCAGTCTTTCCTAGGAATCCCTAGTGTGTATCCATCTGCAGGTTCAGGCCAGCCTCCCCAGATTTCTAACCTCCAAATGGGTTTATGCATTACACTGTTCATCATTAATAGAAGGATTAACTTTATAATTGTAAATCTTTCTTTTCGTACATGGATATGAACATATACTCTGAAAATTCCAGATAAACAGTCTCTCTCCATTTGTAAAAGCAGTAGCCTTTGCTTAAGTGTGGCCATATCAGCATCTCAGAAGATGTCTAGGAAGAAGTTGATCAGGACTAATGATGGAGAAGCCTTGGTGAACAGGGATGCAGGGTGAGGCAATTGGAGTACCCCTTCAGTGGGTCTATCTAAAAGACTCCCAAATTGCATAACTCTTATCTCTAAGGGAAAAAGACAGTCCTTGAATCATGAATAGGAGATTTGAAGAGAAGGAAAGGCGAGAGTAATTAGCATTACAAATTCTAGACAGGGAACTAGAAAAAAGTCAGAACGGGGCAATTTTCAAATGTTCATATGAGAGTCCATTGGAATTTCTTGACAAGGGCTTCCAAAATCATCCTCTATTGGGTTACTCTTCATTTTTCTTTTGTCTTCCAAGGCTGGAGTCTAGAGTGGTGGATTCAGGCTTTGCTTTCAGGTATTTTGATAGCTGTTGGCATAGTTAGAATCAGTGTCAGTTCCCTCTCAAAGGCTTCAAGATAACTGAGGGGTTGCCGAGGTATATGTATGACCTGAGGGTATGCGCACTGGAAATTCTTTACCCAGCATGGGTCAAGCCTTCTCTTCATAGCCTTCCCCAGAGTGTATGCTTTAGCCCTTCCCAAATCCAGGAGGCCATGTATGGTTCGGGTCAAATTACCTACAGTTGGCTGGGAAGAGTGACTGGATAATGTGGTGAGGTGAGGTCCAATGACCCTGCTTGGCCCGATTCCCTATTGGCAATTTGGGTAACCTCTTCAGAGGATGGCATGATAAGAATAGGAGTTAGGAATTGGCTAGGCAGTTAGGGTAAAAAGACCC